AGCAATTTTGAGATACTCATATACATACATACATATATAAACAAAAGGTATACATATATATGGTATATATTACAATATATGTATATGTATGTATACATGTATATTAGCATAGTATGTATAAATATATATGGACATCCACATGTATATACATATATAATACAATATGTATATTGTATCAGACATGTGTATATATATGTATATATTCATATATATATTATATATACATACAATATATCTACACATTAATATATTTACATATATAAAATATATGTGTATATATATATATATAAACACCTAGTATAGTTGTGTTTTCAATATATTTGTCTCTTTTACCTTTTTATCCCTGCAAGCATGGACTATCTCAGTAAGCTCAAGAACCTCGTTCCAGAATTTTAGTGGGTATTACCATAGTACAGGAGAGAGAAATTTTATTGTTTTTATTTTATTTTTTCTACTTTTTTTGTGGGAGGATAATTGCAGTCAGCTGCCATAAAAAATACTATATTGCAGATTTTCTCCAAATTTAATTGTATATGTGTACAGGGAGAAGGGTCGAGGACAAAGGGTGATCAGAGGTCAAATGGAGGAAGGAGACCAATTCTAGTTGAAAAGGTGGGGATGTCCAATAGAGCAGTTTCCCAGTGTGTAATGTGGTGGTATAGGGCTGACCAAGGAGAAATGGAAGGTTTATCGTTAGCAGTTTAATGGTGGATGGACCTGATCAGAAAAATTGAAGTGGGGTAGTAGTCGGTGGGTTATGGACAAGGTGGCAGATCGTGCCAAGGCATCTGCTTGCTCATTGCTGTGGATCCTGACATGGCTGGGGTATCCAGCAAAACTTGATTGATTTCTGCTGCATAGACAAATAAACATTGCTTCATAAGAGACCAGAGGACACACTGAAAAAGGGATGGTAGGCCTGATTCAGTATATACGCTGTCAACAGGAGAGGATAGAAAGCAGCCTATGGCTAAATGAAGACTGCAATGGTGGATTGGGTCAAGGTGCGCGAGAAGGGAATGGTTAATGGTTAATGGTTAAAAGCAAGATAAATGTGCTAGACATCTAAGGTCATGTAGCACTATAGTTAATGTTAGTGAAGGGTGGTTGAGTTAGTGATTAGTTGTCTAAGCTGGGCAAAGGAATTAGTGAGTGAAAGGGTTAAGGTCGGGTGTTATATTAGATAAAGGGTATGCATAAGAAAGGTTTCTTGAAGGCATACAATAGATGGGTTATAAGAGGAAAGGATATGATGGTCAGGTCTGTAGGAGCGGAAACCGCGAATATTCCAATGAAGGATAGTTATACTTTCGTTGATTTAGTGATATAGATTGTAGTACGTGTTGGAGAATTTGAAGGGGAAGCAGCTAGAGGGTGGGATAAGGACTGAGAGGTCTGAGATGGGAGAGGTGTGGGAGTTGGTGTTCTATCAGGAGGGGTATTAGGAGATGGAGGGTCTGAGGAAGGGGATACTTGTGACATAAGGGATTCACGTGTGTATCCAGGAGGGAGTGGAAGGGATAGAGGGGATGGTGGGAGAGTTAATGTGGGCAGGGTTGGGGTCAGGGAGGATGGGCTGTGTTGGGAGGGGATAGGAGGGTAGGGTGTAGGGGGGATATCGTTAGGAGGAGGATGGATATCAGCAATTACTTGGAGTGTGGAAGGAGCAGGAGTTGTAGGTTGAGTGTCGGTTTTCATTAAGTAATCTTGAATATTTTCAATAGTTTCTTCTGTGGAGTTGGTTGGGGAGTTTTGGGGGATAAAGGATTTCTTGTGAGGGGGGGAAGAGAGGACTGGTGTCTCAAGAGTACGGGCAAAGGATGGTGGGGGTGATTGTGTGGTAGGGGAAGAGGGGGTGGAACGTTTGTTCTGTCTGTTACGGGGAGTGCGAGGAGGGAGAGGGGAAGGTGTTGGGGTTGTAGTGGTGATTGGAGTATCTGTAGTAGAGATTGGAGTTTCTGGATTTAGGATGGCAAAAGAGTTTGACTGGGGAAGGTAGGTGGGGTTAGTGGGGGGGTTAGATGTAGGAGGGGTGGGTTTAGGAGAAGTGTTAGAATGAGCAGTATTACTGGAGTAAGGAGTAAGAGAGAATCCACGTCGACGTGCTTCCTGTCTGGCTTCACGCAGTGTGAGTCCAAGTTTGAATCTGAGAGTTGCTACCTCAGATTCAAATTTGTAGGTGGGACAGCCCCTATAAAATACATTATGGGGGCCGCCACAGTTGGCACATGTGCGTGATTGTGCAGAGCAGTTAGATCGGGTATGGCCAGGTTGGGCACATAATGGGCATCTGGCTGTGGAACGGCAGTGTTTGGCTGGGTGTCCTAGACGCCAACAATTTTGGCACTGACGTGGAGGAGGTTGGTATGGACGAACAGGGAGGGATTCTCCTCCTATGTAGACGTTAAAGGGAAGGTCATGTCTACGGAAGGTAATTTTGGCTATGTTAGTGGGTTTCTTTCGATGACCTCTGGGGGGGATGGAATAGCATTGTACTGATGTTGCATCGTAGTCTGTGAGACAGGCAAGTAGATCTTCTCCACAATCTGACCAATCTTTGTCATAGATTGGGCAACTTGTTGGTGAGATTGAGACTGTTCCGGTGCAAGTATTGAGGGTTGGATGGGGTTCTGCTAGGATGGGGTTACCATATAGGTCAGTTAGTTTTGTTAATGCTATGGCTTGGTTTTCGGATGTTACTGTTACAAGACGGGAGCGGTCGGGTCGGCTACGGAAAGAGACTTTACCTACTTGTTTTTGGAGGCATTGTTGGAAGAGAAGGGTGTTGTCAGAGTAGGGAGCTGTGGGAGGGATCACGAAAAATCGGTCCCATTTGGCTGCACTGAAGAGAGTATTCAAGATTGTTTTAGAGATAGGGGTGACGAAGATGGAGTAGTGTTGATGGAGGTAGTGTTATGGAGAGGTGGGCTCTAAGGCTGTAAGGTATTAATAAGGGAGGATGGAGTGGTTGATGTTGGAGGGTGTGGGGGTAGAGGTGTTGAAGTTGGGCATGCTGGGAGAGTGGAAATGTTCCTTGAGGGTTGATTGTTGGCTACTGTACTAGTAGGCATTGGTGAAGGGGTAGTTATTGCAGTGTTTGGAGCCGAGGTCAAAGGAGAGCCTGGGGTCGGGGAATCGGGTGGGTTTACTTCGTTGGGGCTATTTGATAAAGGGGCAAGCCTCATTGCCCCTAACAGTGGGGATATATTTTCATTACTGGCCATGGGAAGCCTGGATTATGTTGGGGATAAAAGCAGTCCACCCCTCAGGGTCCCCTTGAGGGGTAAGGGCTAGATAACTAAATCGGGAATACCGTGCCCATGGCTCCCTCAGGCCGTTCAGGACTGGCACAAAGTCAGCCTTTCATCCTTTCAGCACGGCTCTCACACCTTAGGAGGTGGATAGCAGAAGGGTTTGGTGAAGGGACAGAAACAAAAGTGGAAAGGGAAAAAAAAAGACCATGCATAATTAGTTGAGTCGAGGGCTGAGTCCCAAGGTTGGGGAGTTCCCCATCATTGGGTCCCAGTCTCCGCCTCCTAAGCCCCCCCACGACAACAACGGGCAAGGGATTGGGGGGGCGCGAGAAGGGAAGCACAGGCAGAATATATA